TTACCTCCATTTCTTCCACCCTGATGTGCCAGGGGCCATTGGGATCAGGAGCAGGGAGGAGTGCTGTTAGCAGGCAATCAGAGCAAAAGTAGCTCCACATCAGCAGTGGTGCCACAGCCTTGTGTAATGAGCACGCCTGGCCGCAGGGGAAGAGCTTGGTGCCATGATGGCACAGTGGCATGAGATGGTGTCATGCTGGCAGTGGCAGCCTGTGCCTTGCATGCATGTGGAGCTAAACGCAGGAGATGGGCTAGAGCCTGTCGAGGGCTGAGGGTGTCTTTTTGAGTACTGGGGCTTTTGGGGGCATGTGGGAAGCAACAGGCTGGAGAACAAGATTTAGGACTGGTTTTGGTCTTTGGAAAAAGCAGGCAGCCATAAAGAAACCCCTGCAAAGTGTCACCCCGGGGCAGCTAGCGGGGCTGGGCGCAGCTAAAGTTGGGGGGCTGAGGAGAGCGGTGGCTGCTTGGCAACACAGTGTTGGTGCAGCCAACTGAATGCATCCCAGATGGAGCTGCTTGAAGTGCTCAGCAGGCTCAAAGCTAATCGTCTTGGGGGTGTTAGAGGTGGGACAAGGCTGTGTGTGCATGTGAACTGGTCTTGTCTGACATGCATGAGCCTGCAGGCCCAGCATGCAGGACCAGGATGTGCATCAGGACGAGTGCTGGATGGAGAGGAGGAATAGCAATGGCATGGTGAGGAAGGGCAAAGGGAGGGGGACGATATTCTCCAGCCAGCAGCAAATGAGGAGGGAGTCCTTGAAATGAGTGTCCCGGCAGCATGTCCTGGCCTGACAAAGGTACCCCCAAGCTTGGGGCTCCCATCAGGGCTTGGTGCTTCCCTGGCCACTGAGACCTGCTTGGTAGCTGCTGCCTGAGGTGTCGCAGGTGATGGAGCTATGCCATGTTCAAGCAGAGCTGTGGGGATGCCAGTGCCATTTGTGCTGGTGGCCTGGTGCAGGTCAGCAGCCTGGCTGGGTGTTGGGCTTGCACCGGGCAGGAGAGAGGATCGGTCTGGATGAGCCAGGCCATGGTGGTGGGGTTCCCTGACTCCGTGGTCATCATGTCCTGTGGAGAACCAGGGTGAGGGGGAGCCATGTAGTGAGCAGTAAGCCTGCTCTGGGCCAGGGCTAAATCCTCAGTGTGAGCAAGAGGGTGTTTGGAGCCCAGTTCCTGGCCGCTCGTCTGCAGCATGCCAGAGCCTGATCGGTGCCACTCAGCCGCCACCCCGGCTTGTGTCTCTGTGTCCAGGATGGCAGTGGCACCCTCCAGCGCAGCAGCTCCCTGGGGAAAATCCGGGAGGTGATACGGAGGAGCAGTGAGATGTTGGTCAAAAAACTGCAGGGCAATGGTCCCCTGGAGCCCAGGAACACCAGGTAGGGAAGGGACCAGGGCTGCGAGGGCCAGGCTGGGTGCAGGGCGGGTGAGAGCCCTGCCACCTTGGGGGCTGGGGTCTGGCCAGGCACAAGATCACACCTGCTCTCCTCTGCTTTCTTGTAGCATGAAACGAGCTGCATCATTAAATTACCTGCACAAGTCTAGTGATGCTTCGTTTGAGGTAAGCGCCGGGTGGGTGGCAGGGCTGGTGCAGGCATGGGTGCTGGGGTGGGGGCTGTGTGGCCGCAGCTGGCTACGGGGGCTGTGGCCAGTGACACAGGGGCACAGCAGGCCACACATGCAGTGCCCGAGACCCTACCGGAGGCGTTCATCCATGCAGACGTACTCTGCTGCTGTGCGGGGCTGGAGCTATTCTGCCCTCCCAAGGTGGGTGGCCTGGGCCAGTGCCCCCACTGCAGCCCCTCTTCTGAGATCATAGCTCCAAAACTGAAGGTGTTGCCTCCAAGTAATCACCTGCCCGCCTGCTGAGCTCAGCAAACCCTCCAGCCGCAGAATGGGAGCAGGGAGGGCAGAGGTGGCACCTAGCGTGGCTGGTAACAGCGATGGGGGGGTCCTGGCTTGCGAGGCGAGGGGTGCAGGAGGTGGGCGTGGCTGTGGACTGCAGGTACCGGTCCTCACGGGCCATGTATTTTCCAGGGCACCCAAGGCCTCCGCGCAGAGAGCAGAGGCCTCAGCGCCAGCAGCATGGACCTGTCCTCCCACAGCTCCCTGCTCTCCTCCAACTGACCGGCCTGCAGGTGCCCCCCAGCATCTGCCCGCTCCGCTGCC